TGCTCCGAATAAATCTTTAAAGACGACCGTACCACCATGATGGTTTTTCACTCGTTTAATTCTCCTATCTTTTTTGAATCTCTCGTCATGCCAGTTATAGTTGATATAAAAAAAAAACGTCAAAACGTTTTAACTCCCCCACCCTCTTCTCTTCTGTTGATAAATAGTCCAGTAAGTTGGCAAATGGAATGGGGGGGGGGCGGAAAGATGGTCAGTGGCTACCCAAGGATAATGTGTTGAGTGGGGATGAGGTGCGGGGCTTTTTAGCCTTCCTTCATTTCTGTTCTTTGTGACTTGCGAATGACAACTTACAGTGCTTAATAAAAGTCTTTATTCTTTTGCTAACTTCCAGTCTCTTGTTTTTTTCTAGTTGTGTGAGTTTTTGTTAAAGTCGCAAACGTGGCTCCGGTGTCCATGTTTTAACTAACCTTTGGTTTACAGGCGGGTCTTGGGTTCGATCCTGACCCTGTGACGCCATGTATAGAGTGTGCATGTTCTCCCCGTGGTCATGTGGATTGTAGAAACTTGCGTTTAGAGTATTTGGCTGATATACATATCCACGTGATAAGCCGCTTCCTTGAGCTATCATTTGTGGCCAGGTTGCTTCTGAAAATGAGCTATTTAGCTCAGTGGGCCTTACCTGGTTAAATATAATTTTTTTTAGTACTCCAAAATTCAGTGATGTGCAGGGGATGTTCCTTTAGCTCATTGCCGCAGGGGGTCTCCCACTTCTAAACGGCCCTAAAGAAGCGAATGTTTATCCACCGCAACGGTCTTATCTGCACTCATCGTGTACTCTAAGAGGTTAATATGTGCGACCCGCCAACACTTGAGCTTATAATTTTAAGCGCATTCAATCACTCACTGCGGCGACCTCATTTTTGCACCGCCGATTAGCACGGTTAGCTACGTACGGTGCAAAAGAAGTTCAACATACATGCAACATACGGAATGCCCTGAGGTGTGGAGAAGAGATGGCGTGATGTGTTGTACAAGAGGATGTGGAGCTGAGTGGACTTGCTGATGACTGGTACCAGCGGTGTCAAGATCGGCCTCTGGAGGAGGTTCGTGAAGGATGCTGCTACTCGGCAGTTTGAGGCAGTCACCCTCCAGCAACAACAGAGGACCAGAGGAGCGACGCTCACAACGAGCGGGGCACCGGACCTAATAATAAAGTACGTTGGCACAGATGGTGCATCGGCCAGTCGTCTCACCCATGGCACCTGCTGGGTCTGCCTTGTGACCTGCCAGCGGGCATTCTACACTTCACGAAGCCTCAACATGTACATCACCTGGCACAAGCACCGTGGTGACGGTGTAGCGGTGAGCGCTACGCTGCGCTATGAACCCGGCTTCCAGAGTTTGATACCCGCTCACGGCCAACACCAGTGACGATTATCTAACCTGGTCCTGGGCCTCTCCTAGGTCGACTCGGCCTCAAATGAGTATCTGGTGCGATGTGTAGTAAACATTGCCACTGGGGAGACAGGTGGCAGGGCGTGGTGCTGGCCACCCACCTTGTGTACCGTGCCGGCCTTTATAGGTGCTCGCTAACAGCACCTGCCCCAACAGCCCGTTAAGGCTATATGGGGGGGGGGGGGGGGTATTTGTCTTTGTTTATGCGTGGCCCGCCAAATTCACTACAAACCTGTGAACCCCTTATCAGTCCCGACCTTATTACAGACCAATTCAGACCTTATTGGTCACTCCATGCTCTTATAAACATGAAAGTTCATCCTACAGAGTCCCATCACAAGGGAGAAACACACAAAGACATTTATTTGCCCGTATTGAAACGGCTGTACGCCGTATGGACCTGGAAACTCAATTTAACCACAATACTCGTGGTCAAATGGAATGGGCGGGGGGAGGGGCAGAAAGATGTTTTAGCAAACAAAAAACATAATCTGATGTCATTGACTTTGAAACTGATTGGTCCATACCAGAGACAGCTTTCTTTGGAGCCTCGTCTCAAATGTTGTTAGACCAGAGGCCGCCAAAAGGCGTACAGCTCAAAGATAATGCACATATTATCAGTGTTTTTTTTTTGCAGTCTGACCACAAATATCGTGGTTAATGCAGATATGATTCCTTGTAAAAGGTTTCAGTTTGGTGTTTTAATATCTTAACACCTTTTCATATTCTTGGTTCTTTCGGTAAAGTCACGTAGAAGGGAAACAATAAAATAATAAAAATATAAAACAATAAAATTCTCACGACGTTTCGACTGCAACACAAGCAATCATCACGTGTGAAAACCACAGCACTTAATGATGATTGCGTGTGTTGCAGTCGAAACGTGAGAATTTTATTGTTTTATATTTTTATTATTTTATTGTTTCCGTTCTACATGACTTTACCGAAAGAACCAAGAATATGAATCCCTGCAGTCACGAAAGCTTTAAATCAAAATCTTAACACCTATTTTGTTGCCAGAAAAAAGGGGTAACCCTATTCTTACTACACTATACTGTTGCAGCCTCGCGTCACTATACTATACACTACTATAAACTCCACTAAACTGTTCCAGCCTCACGTCAGTTTTCACTACTATACACAACAACTAGGCTTCAGGAAATGTTTATGAGTACTGGACACAACTGAAGACGGCAGTTTTACTGTGTAGGAACCTCCTGGTGACACCACCAGCCCACAGGGGATTATTGTGTCCGTCCGTCCGTCGTGCATCCAAAAATGGGAGGGGTGGGGCTGGGTGGAGAGGGGAGGGAGGGGAGGGGCTGGGTGGGGAGGAAGGGGAGGGGCTGGGTGGGGAGAGAGGGGAGGGGCTGGGTGGGGAGGGGCTGGGTGGGGAGGGGAGGGGCTGGGTGGGGAGGGTGGGGAGGGGCTGGGTGGGGAGGGAGGGGAGGGGCTGGGTGGGGAGGGGCTGGGTGGGGAGGGGCTGGGTGGGGAGGGGCTGGGTGGGGAGGAGCTGGGTGGGGAGGAGTTGGGTGGGGAGGAGCTGGGTGGGGAGGAGCTGGGTGGGGAGGAGCTGGGTGGGGAGGGGCTGGGTGGGGAGGGTGGGGAGGGGCTGGGTGGGGAGGGTGGGGAGGGGCTGGGTGGGGAGGGAGGGGAGGGGCTGGGTGGGGAGGGAGGGGAGGGGCTGGGTGGGGAGGGAGGGGAGGGGCTGGGTGGGGGGTGAGAGGGGTGGGGCTGGGTGGGGAGGGGCTGGATCGGGAGGGGCTGGGTGGGAGGGGTGGGAGGGGTGGGGCAGGGTGGGGAGGGGCTGGTCGCCCCGTGGTGCCCTTATAAAACTCAACGTTTAACCTACTCACGCCGGCTTGTGCCCGCCCTCACAGTCGGGCTTAATTGCGGAATACACCACGTGGTGCCGCCGTTGACCCTGGCCATTGACCGAGCAACCAACGTTCCTACTACCAGCTCCCTCCGCAGGAATGTGTTCACCAGCTGTGAAAACAACGTTGGCTAGCCAAGAAGGAAAAACTGACTGGTTTGATGACGACCAGAAAATCACAGGCCTCATTGACAAAAAGCGGAAAGCATTCATCGCCTGGCAACAACACAAACAGTCTGGACAGAAATAAAATATTTAAAAATACTTTTAAAAAAAACACGCTTTAATGAAATGTACTGTCCGAGCTGCCCCTCCCCCTGCCCCCTCCCCCTGCCCCCTCCCCCCATCGCCCCTCCTTCCACATCCCCCGCCCCTCGGCGTGGCTCCCTGACGCTTGCCGTCACGTTTAGGACCGTGGTGGTGATTTACAGGCAACGTGAGTTGAGCGTGGACAATTAGAGCCGTAAAAAATATTGTTTAAAAAAATATATTTAAAATTTTCAATGATAGAATATAGTATTGTCATCAGTATGACATACCTATACCAAGTTTGCAGTCGATACGACGTTGGGAAGACGGTTGAAATTGAGTTGCAAGATTTTAGGATACAACACACAGAGTAAGTTAAATAATAGCGTGTAAAATGTTTTAAAATGTTTTGGATTTTTTTTATGATAGAATATAGTATTGTCATCAGTATGACATAGGTATTTCAAGTTTGCAGTCGATAGCACATTGGGAAGTGTGTAAAAATTGAGTTACAAGATTTATTTTTTGAGGATACAACAGACGGAGTGAGTTAAATAAAAGCATGTAAAATAATAATAAAAACAATCTTATAAGGAGGCCAAATCGGAAGCACAAACTAAAATCCGGGAACTGAAGATCAACTGGTTCAGAAACAAAGCAGAAGAAATACAACATCTTGCAGATTCCAATAACCCACATGACATTTTTTTAAAGCAACCCAAAGTCTTATATGGACCATCAAAAACAGGGCCTTGCCCCACTCCAGTCTAAAGATGGGACAGAAATCTTGAAAGACAAAAATGCAATCATCTCCCGCTGGCAAGAACACTTCACTCTTTTTCAAAACTGCAACGCTGTTGTAGACGCTTCTATATTCATTGAGATTCCGCAACACTCTACCACTGAGGATTTAGCTGGAGAACCACCGACACTTGAAGTTTCATTGGCTCTCACTAACCACTACTACCATCACCTCTAGCAGGTGCAATGATTACCTGGCAGCCCTTTAATTGGTGGAGACCCACCACCAGCACCATCGTTGCCCACGACTACCATCACCTCTTACGCCACCCTACATCACCTTCTCGCCATCCCCTACACGCTGAGGCACAACCTTTTTTTAATCTCTCACATTAACGTTTATAGCTACCCCGCCCATGCTGCTGACGCTTGGGCTAAGCCCATTTTTAAACCTTTCCTAAGCAGTTTGCCTTTAGAAGCCAACCCCCTTTTCCTGACGACGACCGCTTGTGTTGCGATCGAAACGTCGTAGTTTTATGATTGTATTTGAACCTATTTACGCGACTTGACAAGACCCAAACCAAACATGACCCCCAACATGACCCCTCCCCCGCCTACACCAACAACTACCCCCAGGCAACATGGCGGCTCGCTTTATATACCGGGCGCCGACGTCACTTCCGTGCCGGTCACGTGACGCCGGTCCCCCACTCCTGCCCGGGGGGCTCCCTCCGAGTTGACTTGCGAGTCCGCAGCAGCAGTGGCGGCGGCAGCGGCGGGCGGGCGGGCGAGCGAGCGAGCGAGCGAGCGATGGATTCTCGGCCACGGCGGGGCTCTGCCCTCAGCCGCTCCACATACATCTACGACGTGCGGCCGCTCGTACTGGACGAGTTCTGCAGGATCATGGACACGTGCGAGAGCCCCATGGGGTGGCGCGACCTGGGTGAGTTACGTCTCCCAACTGGGATCGGCGGATTTGCTGCCTCCGGGCCTAGGGTTTGCCGCGGCATCCTCGGTCTCGCCTGAGAAACCCGCCGCCCCTCGCGTCTCGTTCTCCGCGGATTTTGCCACGGGTGGCTGGCTGGTGGGAATCGGTCTCCCTGCTAAGTTTTAAGAGTAGTAAGAGGCGTGCGGCTTACGCTCGAGCAGTTTGAATGCGTTTCACATTACGGTACGATACTTCTCGTATCCCCCTGTGTTTTAAATTAGAAGTTGTGTGTGCGCGTCGATGAATGCTGGTGACTGCGTCTCTGTGTTTGTCACGAGATTTTCGCTGGAGCGGTCGTGTAGTGGGTTCGTAGCGCTACGCGAACCCGGCGACCCGAGTTCGATTCACGGTCAACATCAAGTGACGATTGTCTTTACCGGTCTTGGGGCCTCCCCTAGGTCGACTCAGCCTCAAATGAGTACCTGGTGCGGTCGGACAGTCCGTTAAGGCTACACGGGGGATCTTTGTATTTTGTGAAGAGATGTGGATGTAGCCGTGTTGACACCTGGACCACGAGTTTGCTGTGCGTCTTACAATCCGGAGAATACGGTTGCCAATAGGTGGATCCGTCTATACTTTTCTAGATTTAAAGCTTTCGTGACTGCTAGGATCCATACTCTTTGGTTCTATTGGGTAAAGTCACGTAGGTGAAAATAAAATAACAAAAAAAGCTTAAAGGTCGTGATCAAAGCGTGGCTTTTCTCACTCCAGCGCTGTCCTCCAGACAGTCTCGTCCCTTCACCTGATGAAGGCCGCTTGTGTTGTGGCCGAAACGTCGTGATTTTTTTGTTATTTTATTTTCACCTACGTGACTTTATCCAATATAACCAAAGAGTATTGATCCGTCTATACTCTATAGACAACGCACGGAAATCATGTGGAGAAAGTAAGATTTGTTACACTTTATACACTTGTCAACACATCAAAGTTCTGGAGCCTCGCTTCCAGTTATGTATTCCCATCAACAGAGTGAATGAGTGAGAGTGCTTTTCACGAGTGCGAGCGGGTTAATCCATTGTTGCTGTTGATTCGTTAAAATATTAACGCGTTTACTTGTGCGTGTGCAGTCTTTCCTACACCGTTCGACAATAATTTACTGCACTGCCCCAGTTAAGGGGTCGGTGATTTCCGAGCGCATAGACGTTCGGCAATATTACTTTACAACAAGTGGATTTTCATGTCCCCCTGTTCCTTGTTGATCACACAGGCCCCCGCAGCTCCCTTTAACACCAGTTTTTTGTGTATGGTGATCGGCAATCAAAGCGCAAACCCGGATCGACCGTCTCGAGCTTATACTATTTGAAAAGTTTCGGTTGCTTAGTAGGTCATAGGCTGCGGTGCATCTAAGTCTACACAATGCTCTTTCGTGTTCCCTCTCAACAAAGGTGGTTTCACGTTGTTATTTCAGGAGGTGGTTGTCGACCATTCATTCTGCCGCTCGATGAACCAGGATTTTAACGAGTAACGCTATGAATCAGTCAACCGGAAATTGAATTCTTACTGAAGTGGGCGACAGACCACTGATCCCGTCAGACGTCTAACCAGTCACCTTAACAGTAATTAAGTTGAAAATCAAAACCCTCACCCCTCAGGGGTCTGGTGCCATGGGTCGTAATGAATTTGCAGATACTAATGAATACTTGCCCATCTTCCGCCTAAGTCATATTAACACAGTTATGGCTTGCATGGTTGTGCCCAGCATGGCTACCCGTAACTGCACTTTGCTTTCTGTCACCTGTCTATCGCACGAAAATGTGAGATATCAAATGGGTATCGTTAGGTGCTTTGGTAATGTTGAGTTGAGTAATCTCCCTGCTCAATGAGCATCAAGGCGTTGCTCATCTACATTGTTAGCCTAGACGTACTGTTGGAACATGTTTAATTTAGACTTCAAATTTTTTTTTTTACTAGATAAGGTCCACTGAGCTATATAGGTTTTTTTACTGGTAGGAACGAAGTTGTAAACTGAGATTAATGTGTCCGTCCGTCCCCTTTCAATACTTTAACGAAGTGAAATCTCGTGCTGTTGGGTGTATAATTTGTCTGAAGAACCCTCAACGATTTTGAGGGAAAAAAGGTGGGAAGACGCTCTCAATTTGCACAATTTTACATAACAATGTCATAAAATTGCGCAAAATTCCAATGTTCCTACCAGCCCACCCTGCAAGGACCTGTTTTCCAAGAAGTAACCTGGCCACAAATAACATAGCCCAACGAATTTTCTCATCGTCACGTGGAAATTCATAGCAGCCAAATACTCTACACGCATGCTGATTCTAAATGTGTAGGGGGAAAACCCGGAGGACACGCGACCACGGGGAGAACATGCAAACCCCAAATATACAGGTGTTAGTGTCGGGTTCCAATCCACTACCTCCTGCATACCAGGCGAGGGAGCTAACATCTCGCCACCGAGGAGCCCACGCTCGGGAGGGATATCTATTGTATGGGGGTTGTGCCAGCTGCAAGCTCGTGAATTAGGGGCGAGATAGCAGCACGTGCCTCAAAGTGCTTGCAACTAAAACGGGATAAAATAAATAATCAGACGATATCTCTTTCACATATCTGTCAAAATAAAAGTATTGTTTATATCTTGCATCACCCACATGGCCTTCAGGTAATGCAACATTTTAGGGTTCAACACAAGCCAACTTTGGACGCGTTTAGACATCTCGTGTCTCGTCAGGCCTGCTTGAACTGGCCAACCTTCAGATGTTTATCGGCATACTGTATATTGACGTAAAAGATGCTCCCTAGTACCCAAACACAAAATAAGAATTGACGTAATTTTGGAGAATGCCGGTAACAAAATGAGCAGACAATATTCCCCTTCACATGTATTGTTTTACAATTCTGATCAGCCACATGGCCTTCAGGGCATGCACACATGCAGCAGCATTGGTGCAACACAGCCAGAATCAAATATCGATTTAGATTTGTAGGAATCCGATGAGCTATAAAGCTTTTTTTTCACAGATGTCCAGTAGGGGCGGGTAAGAACGTTACAACAACAAACAATACAAAACACGACAGTACTGCAAAGTACAAGAGAGGTAAACAAATCAGCCAAACACAAACAAATAAAACTAAACTATCCCCATCCTACCAGGCAAAGCCCACTGAGGTATTCACTTATTTTACAGAAGCGACCTGGCCACAAATGATAGGTCACCAAAGTGGCCCCATCATTTGGACATTTATAGCACCAAAATAATCTAAATAATAATCTCAGTGCAAACTAGATCAGTTTCAACATTCAGTGTCTCATCAACAGAATAGTGCTTGCAGGAAACCAACACTGGCGTCTTTGTGCATGTGATGTGATTGCATCTGTCACCTGTGCGTGCATGTGGTGTAAAGTATTTAAAAGTTCTTAACGCGTGTTTTATGAAGCGAGTCTCACTTTCCATAATAAGTTACATCGTTTACTTTATTCTGCATGAGTACAAAAGTTATTTGAGGTTGTAACATTTACCTCTTTAATTCACTCGTGAGCAGAAGCGGTTTTTTAACTTATGCTGAACCATGGTTATAGTATTTGAGTGTTCTTAATGGCTGTTCTTTGCTGCATTTTCCACATTGCCTCTCTGCAATCTCACTACTCACGTTACGTATTAACGCGTTATATATCCTACAGTCTACAGTTATTCTATGTTTGCATACTGGCCGTGCCGGACCACAGAATCATGGTTTGCAATGGGCACTGCCCCGTCTCTCATCCAGTTTGGTCATAAAGGCAATCCTCCACAAATTATTAATCATGGTCTGCACCAGTCCTCCGCATTTACACGAAATAAACATGGCGTGTATTTTTGGTGAAGAATGTTAATAACGGGATAAATATGCCTTCTTCCCATATTTGTGTCTCTGCATAATAAAGTGCTTATTTTACACATTCCCATTGGCCGCACAATGTTGCGGTAGTTCGTCTTTCCAGCAGCATTGGTTCAATGCAAGCAAACTCGGGACCGGTTTTGACACTCGGTGTATCTTCAGCAGTCAGGCTTGATTGAACCCATATTGGTGAAATGCCCGATGTGAACTCTGGAATCACGGTTTGGATTATCGCGGATGTCCCCATTTGCCCTCGCTGGCCATGCAGTTGCCCTGTTCATTTCGAGCACGGGCCAGTGGAGCCGATGCCTGGTGCTGTGGTGGCTAGGAGATGTTAACTACCTCGCGTGGTATACAGGAGATATGGTGGGTTTGATCCCGATCTTGACGCCTGCTATATATTTGGAATTTGCACGTCTCTCACTATCATCATTACGGTGGCTAGGAAACGTTAACTACCTTGCCTGGTATACAGGAGGTCGTGGGTTTGATCCCGACCTTGACGCCTGCTGTATATTTGGAATTTGCACGTCTCTTTCCCTGTGGTCACGTCGATTTTTGTCCAGGTCCTCCAGTTTTCCCCTCCACATTTCGAAACATGCATTTAGAGTGTTTGGCTGCTATACATTTCCACGTAATAAGCTACTTGGTTGAGCTATCATTTGTGGTCAGGTCGTTTCTGAATAAGAGCTATATAGCTCAGTGGGCCTTGCCAAGTGAAATAGAAAATAGTTCATTTTATAGTCGAGTTTTAGTTTAGGCTGCTGGGTCAACACTTGGTTGATGGTCATTGGCTAGACAAATGGGTCGTTAATGGTTAACAAGGCCCATTCTGCCAGCAGTAAGCACTTGTGCACACTTGTGCTAATACTCGGGGATTCCCAAGTAATTTGTTGCGAGCTGTTAGCGTTGATCTCAAGTGTGTGGTTTTTGGGCATCCCGATGAAGTCCATTGGAAATGTTTCCAAGAACGGTATGCAAATTACAGCGAAATCTGCACTGCCAGATGGTGCAGCGGTTTACGCGCTGTCGCACTGTGACCCAGGGTTCATTGCTGGATTATGCACACCATCAGTCGCGTCTGCAAAGGCAGTTGATGAAAGACTTTCAAAATACACCAA